GTTTTTTGACCTAAGTAAAGCTTTCGACTTCGTTGACCATAAAAGTCTTCTTAAAAAATTGGAAAATATGGGCATTCGAGGGATTCCTTTGCAGTGGTTTGAGTCTTATTTGACAAACAGAAGACAAAAAGTCGAAATCAAAAACCTAAATAACCAGAATGAACTGACTTCTTATTATTCACATTTTAGGAACAACTATTTTGGCGTCCCACAAGGAAGCATTCTTGGGCCTTTGCTTTTTATTTTATATATAAATGACATTCCAAATGTAACTAAATTCAAATGTACTATGTTTGCAGACGATATTTCAATAACAATTAGTACTAACCCAAGCAAACATTCATTCACAAAACATGAATCTGAGATAAATGACGGTATAAAATCAGTAATAGAATGGTTAAATCTAAATAATTTAAAAGTGAATCTTAGCAAAACTCACTACATTAAATTTGACAACTTGAAAACTAATAAGCTTGACATATATCACAACGAAACCAAAATCTAAGAAATGACACAAACAAAATTTCTTGGCTTAGTAATTGATAGAAACCTTAACTGGGAGTCACATATGAAATCAGTGTGTGATAAAATAAATAAATTTGTATATGCTTTAAGGTATATTAGAAGAGTCACGAACATAAATACTGCCCTGTCAGTGTATCACGCTTATGTTGTTTCTATTCTGCGTTACATGCTAATTATCTGGGGAAATGGTTCTCAGTTAAATAAAGTTTTTATCACACAAAAAAAATGTTTACGAGCACTAACTCTAAAAGCGCCATTTCATTCATGTAGACCTTTATTCAAAAAGCTTAAGTTATTGACATTGCCATCGCTCTACATTTATGAAATATGTTTGTTCGTCAAACAACACAACCATCTTTTTACTAAAGCTAAAAATATATCTTCTCGAAGCAACAGATACCCTGAAAAGCTTGTAATTGACACACTCCCTAGATTATCTAAATATAATAAAAGCTGTCTATACATGTGTGTCAAAATATATAATAAAATTCCTCAGCATATTAAAGCACTATCTTTCTCAGGATTTAGAAAAGGTCTCTATGATCTTCTCGCAGAAAGAACTTTTTATAGCGTCAAAGAATTCCTAGATTATAAATTTGACAAATGATACCACTACGATTTCACAAATCATGGACATTTTTATTTTGTTTAATAATAATTAATCATTATTTTGACATTTTATTCCATTTAGTAATAATTAATAATTGTCTGATATTTCTATTATATTTAATAATAATTAATAATTATGTAATGAGTAGTTATGTATAAATTTTAATTTCAATGTATCTTTTAATATTGTGTAATTAATAAGTAACTGAATTAGCCACAGACTTAAATTTGATATTTGTATGCCTCTATGTAAGCGGTGAAACATGTTTGGCCTCAAGTATATGTAATTAACACCTGTATTTACCATGTTTGATGCAAATAAAAGTTTTGAATCTTTGAATCTTTTGAATCTTCTCTCCTCGGACGGGTATGCGCTGACCGGTGGCTGTCACCAAATTAATGCGTTCGCGGTAGTATGCGGAGTCCCCAAGAAACTGATTTATAAGTTGGGAACTGACAACCGTGCGAGAGACTCCAGTGTCTATGGTTAGTTTACACGGCTTTCCGTTGACCTCGCCCTTGATGATCAGGCTGTTTCCATCTCGGGTTTGTGAGATCGAAATCCTTGGGGCTCTTTTAACATCAGCCAGCACCCGCCAGTTTCCCTACTGCTGCTGGGCGGTGCTGTCAGCCACACTACCCTCTCGATATCGATCACCTTTCCTTTCTACAGTTCGTTTAGGGCAGCTGGATCGAAGATGGCCCCTTTCCCCACAGCCGTAGCACCTAGGGCTGTAGCCCTTATTGCGGTCCTGAACTATAGCTGCTGCAACCTCCCTGACGCGGTGGGAACGATGATCCTGCCACACGGCTTCCACCTCCAGTGCATGGACCAAAGCGTCCTTAAGCGTCTCGTGGTGCCCGAGCCTCACAGCAGCTCTGACTTCAAGGTCGCGGATGCCGTCGATGAATGTCTGCACCAGGTTCCCTACAATGAGCGCAGGTACAGACTGGTACGCTTTCCGAACCAGCTTCTCCACCTCAAGGGCCCACTGCTGCAGGTTTTCGTTACTGCGTTGCACGCGATATTTGAGCTGCGCACGAAAGACGTGTTCCAGGTGAGCATCGCCATATCTCGCCTCCAATGCCTCAAGGAGCTGCTCGTAAGTCACTTCCTTACCGAGAGCTTCTAGAACAGTTAATGCCTGGTCGCGTAGGCCTAGGGTGAGAGCAGTCATGGCTTGACTTTTATTCCAGCCGTTCGCTTTCATGACAGCCTCGAACTGAATTTTGTAGGCCGACCAGGAAGAACTCCCGTCGAACGGCGGCACTTTGAATCCACGTAGCGACGGTGTTGTAGCTACCACGGGAACTGTAATTCCATCCCCAAGTTTGAGGTCGTCCAGCGTTTTCTTCACATCAGCCATCACGTTGTTAACCCGATTGTTCACTTGGTCGATTCGGGTTTCAGCTTCCGACAGGCGGTTGTCATGTTGAACAACCCTATCCTTCACCTCCTTTATCTCTTTCCCGAAGGTAGCGTGAAGGTCCTTCCTGAGGAGCATCTGTTCTTCCATACCGCGCTGCAGCTGCTCTTCCAACCGACGGGTCTGTTCCTCCTGTCGGCGGGCCTGTTCCTGCAGCATCATCATCAGAGCACCTAAGTCAGGTGCTGCAGATGCAGGAGCTGCTGACGGGCCGGCCTCCGTGGTTAGCAGCTGCCCCTCCGACGTTTGCGGCGTTGCATTACCAAATCGTCTCTGGTCCGTCTCCTGTTGGCGTTGACTTCGGGTACGGATACCCTCCGTGTCGTCTTTAGGTAAAATCGGCATATTTGATCCCACTTCTGACATCAATTGTTACGAGCTTGGGGTTCGAGACAATTAAAAACTGCCGATTGAATTACCAAAATTAACACTTTAATTACACAACACTAATTACAATCATCTAAAATCACACTAATAATAAAACACAGTTCGCCGTTATTTCGCTTCGAAGTATTCTCTTGTATCGCCAATTCAATACTGCCCCGGTCGTGGTCTATACCGGCCTTATATAGGGCCTCAGATAGTTTACAGAACCTTCTACTGCAGCGACATCTAGAATGTTCGAGTACATATCGGTCCCGAAATTTCTGGAAGGATCTCGACTCTCCTAGTTCTGCTACTCGACACTAGAGGGCGCTAGTGTAACTAGTGTTGCCATGTACAAGACATTAATAGTGGCGCGCAATACTTTCATTTACTCGACACTAGGAGGCGCTAGTGTAACTAGTGTTGCCATGTACAAGACATTAATAGTGGCGCGCAACAATATTTATTTCTTTAAAATTTTCTCTAAGGAATTCCTTCGGACCTAGGTTATAAATTGCTCTTATGGCTCTCTTTTACAAAACAAAGATAGTTTCAATGTCAGTCGCATTACCCCATAGCAAGATTCCATGACATTATGCTATGGACATAACTAAAATAATCTAATCTAGCTGTTTCAACACATGTAAGGCATCTAATTTTTTTTACAGTATATGGTGCAGAACTAATTTGCTAGCTAGTTTAGATATATGAGGGCCCCATTGAAGCTTCGCGTCAACTGTAATACCGCGAAAAACAGTGGATTCAACAAGACTCAGCTCCTCCCCACTTAAAAGCACACTGGTAGTTCACCTTTTTAACATTAGGTGTAGTGAATTTAATACATTTCGTTTTATTACAGTTCAAAAGCAAATTATTGACGTTAAACCAGTGTACTACTTTTGATATAGAATTTTTCACTTCGTCTTGCCTTTTTAGTCGGAAAATCAACGAAGTATCATCAATAAATAATACTATATCATGGTTATTTCCTATCAAGTAAAGTAAGTCATTAATATAAACTAAGAACAAAAAGGGACCAAGGGCTATTTACACAAGGGAGTAATGACTCGGCGACAGCATGGGAGGAATTGAATGACTTTGTAGTCAAGATCGGAATGTCGGTAAAATATTGAACAAAAGCAGTCGCAACGTCTTGATCTAATTTCGTCAAATTAATGTTAAAATTTTATTGAAAGTTTGAGTTGTGTAGTATTTGTAAAAACGTGACGTGACGTGACGGTGATAGTGCATGCAATTGAGGGAGGGCGGGAGGTGGTCTTCAAACTAGGTAAGACACATCATTTCATTTTATCGAGCGGATGTACGCGAAGTATATTTTTGCCAACTTTAATGAGTCAATATTGCTTGTTGTGTTATTTAACACACACTGTCCGTAAAGAACTTGGTATTGAAAATGATAAGAATTCTTAGGCCATGTTTCTTCTACATGCTTGTAGATGTTACTTAATTATTTGTCCTTTTGGACAGTGATGCATTTGGTAGATAAGGTTCTTCGGCGAAGAAAAAGTGTAAATATATCTCGACCCATGTTCAGTCATTTTGTGACAATAAACAACACGATCAACAAGGAGAACAAACCAAACATCACAAAAACATAACATATAATAGCAAAAGAACAACGAAATTACGAGTGATAATAACAAGGCGAAAGTATGCTAACGTTGACCAGTTAATCAAAAGTAAATAAAACATGGCGGATATAATCCAACCGAATATAGAAAGCATTCATTCCACTATAAAATTGTCAATTTTGTAGTCTACTTTAAATTGTTAGCATAAAAAAGCGAAGTTCGGTATCTTACGCCTTTAGTACACCTACGCATTCGTATGCGGTAGCGAAACAACGAAAAAACTGTAAGTAGTGTGGCAGGTTTTCGCATATGATATGTCTCACTCTAGCACATAGATAGATGAAATAGTTGCGTCCTTGTCAGTATTGTTTCGCAAGGACCTGCGAAATGGCCGTTACACAGACGCATACGTTTCGCTAGTGATGTTTCGCATCGCAAAGCGTCAGCTCGCGTTCTGTCGGTGAGGACAGATTTTCGCGCCATGGATGCCGAAAATACTGAATTATTTTTGCATTCTATTCGAGATTATCCCGTATTATACGCAATTGGACACGCAGATTATAAAAACACGTACAAAAAAGAGGTAGCATGGAGAAAACTTCAAGAAAAGACTCGGATAGATGGTAAGAAATTTATTGTTTATATTTCATACAGGCATACATTTTATGTTTTTAATTTTCTTTGAAATAATTTACAAATTGTGATCGAACATTAAACGCTGCTAAGTCTGCCCTATGTCTATTGGCATGCATTGGTACGAATGCTCTTAAAGTGTCCGAAAATTGTTTATTTTCGTATGTGTGTGCACCTTCTTGTATCTGCAATAAGTTATGCAAGCATACTGCAGCTTTAACAATTTTAATAGTATTATTCAAATCTGTTTCAAAGGGCCTCAAGAATATTCTAAATTTTTGTGCTAAAATGCTAAACGCACATTCTACTACTACTCGTGCCCTACTTAATGATTTATTAAATCTTTTTTTATCATTGTCATTCATTGCTGCGTCTCTAGTGAAAGGTCTCATTAGAAAGGTTTCTAATTTAAATCCTCCATCTGCAATGAATACATGTGGTGTAGTCTGTTGGAAACCTGGCAAAGGTTTTGGAGCTGGCAAATTCAAATCCCGTCCACTTTTTAAAAGCTGATAAAATGTATGTAAATGTAAGCTGATAAATGTAGTATTGTACTATCGGAATCTTTACCATATGATCCTACATCTATGTAAGTAAATTTGTAATGTGGATCAACTATTGCCAATAACACAGTAGAAAATCGTTTTTTATAGCAATAGAACAGTGAGCCGCTGTTAGGTGGACATTTAATAACAATATGCTTGCCGTCAATACTCCCGAGGCAATTAGGAAAACCCCATATTGTTTGAAATGCTTCAGCTATTTCCAACCATGTTTTAGTAGAAGGAACCGGGATGTACTCTGGCTGTAGTATCTTCCAAATTTGTTCGCATACTTGAGTTACTATCTTTGAAACGGTGCATTCACCCAAACAATAAGAGAAAGATATTGTTGTGTATGTGTCACCAGTTGCTAAAAACCTGAAATATTGTTACAGTTAAAACTATGAAAAATAAATGGAGAAACCTAAGGGACACTTATAAAAAATATAAACAGGGTCAGCAAACAAGCAGTGGACAAGCCGCGAAGAAGCTTGCTAATTGGCAATGGGCTGAACAGATGTCGTTCATAGATTCATCCACAAACTTGAGACAAACTGAAAGTACACTGGATACCAGTACTATATCTATAGAGAATGATTATGAAAATTATACAGAAGCCGAACAGGTTTCAAATAATGAACAGAACGAACTCGCCGTTCAAGAACTGGAGACAGCACGGTCTACAGCTGAAACTACAGCTGAAACTGCAACTGAAGTATCCCGGAGAAGACGACGCCGTGTAAGCAACGACGATCCTGCTGAGAAGATTATAAATTATTTAAAGACTCGAAAATCGGGTACTACGGACAGAAACGCTACAGAAAATCTTGTCAAAATACCGTGTGATCGAATGGACATGGATTTTTTAGGTTATGCCCATACTGTAAAGAAATTTTCTCTACGAAAGCAAGCTATTATTAAACTTCAAATAACACAAATTATAACTGAGACTCAACTTGAAGAATTGAATAATAGCCGGCCAAATTCTAATTTCAGCAATGCTTCATCCTCTAGTACTCCCAATTTTTACTACGTCGATAACGACTGGAACATTTCAAGATCGACACCATCTGAAGAACTGCAAACACATTCCATCCCAGACACTCAAAACGTTTCAACTGCACAGATACACATACCTAATACTCAAACACATTCGATCCCAGACACTCAAAACGTTTCAACTGCACAGATACACATTCCTAATACTCAAACACATTCGATCCCAGACACTCAAAACGTTTCAACTGCACAGATACACATTCCTAATACTCAAACACATTCGATCCCAGACACTCAAAACGTTTCAACTGCACAGATACACATTCCTAATACTCAAACACCTTCGATCCCAGACACTCAAAACGTTTCAACTGCACAGATACACATTCCTAATACTCAAACACATTCGATCCCAGACACTCAAAACGTTTCAACTGCACAGATACACATTCCTAATACTCAAACACATTCGATCCCAGACACTCAAAACGTTTCAACTGCACAGATACATATACCTAACACGCAAACACATTCCATCCCAGACACTCAAAACGTTTCAACTGCACAGATACACATACCTAATACTCAAACACATTCGATCCCAGACACTCAAAACGTTTCAACTGCACAGATACATATACCTAACACGCAAACACATTCCATCCCAGACACTCAAAACGTTTCAACTGCACAGATACACATTCCTAATACTCAAACACATTCGATCCCAGACACTCAAAAAGTTTCAACTGCACAGATACACATTCCTAATACTCAAACACATTCGATCCCAGACACTCAAAACGTTTCAACTGCACAGATACACATTCCTAATACTCAAACACATTCGATCCCAGACACTCAAAACGTTTCAACTGCACAGATACACATTCCTAATACTCAAACACATTCGATCCCAGACACTCAAAACGTTTCAACTGCACAGATACACATTCCTAATACTCAAACACATTCGATCCCAGACACTCAAAACGTTTCAACTGCACAGATACACATTCCTAATACTCAAACACATTCGATCCCAGACACTCAAAACGTTTCAACTGCACAGATACACATTCCTAATACTCAAACACATTCGATCCCAGACACTCAAAACGTTTCAACTGCACAGATACACATTCCTAATACTCAAACACATTCGATCCCAGACACTCAAAACGTTTCAACTGCACAGATACACATTCCTAATACTCAAACACATTCGATCCCAGACACTCAAAACGTTTCAACTGCACAGATACATATACCTAACACGCAAACACATTCCATCCCAGACACTCAAAACGTTTCAACTGCACAGATACACATACCTAATACTCAAACACATTCGATCCCAGACACTCAAAACGTTTCAACTGCACAGATACATATACCTAACACGCAAACACATTCCATCCCAGACACTCAAAACGTTTCAACTGCACAGATACACATTCCTAATACTCAAACACATTCGATCCCAGACACTCAAAAAGTTTCAACTGCACAGATACACATTCCTAATACTCAAACACATTCGATCCCAGACACTCAAAACGTTTCAACTGCACAGATACACATTCCTAATACTCAAACACATTCGATCCCAGACACTCAAAACGTTTCAACTGCACAGATACACATTCCTAATACTCAAACACATTCGATCCCAGACACTCAAAACGTTTCAACTGCACAGATACACATTCCTAATACTCAAACACATTCGATCCCAGACACTCAAAACGTTTCAACTGCACAGATACATATACCTAACACGCAAACACATTCCATCCCAGACACTCAAAACGTTTCAACTGCACAGATACACATACCTAATACTCAAACACATTCGATCCCAGACACTCAAAACGTTTCAACTGCACAGATACATATACCTAACACGCAAACACATTCCATCCCAGACACTCAAAACGTTTCAACTGCACAGATACACATTCCTAATACTCAAACACATTCGATCCCAGACACTCAAAAAGTTTCAACTGCACAGATACACATTCCTAATACTCAAACACATTCGATCCCAGACACTCAAAACGTTTCAACTGCACAGATACACATTCCTAATACTCAAACACATTCGATCCCAGACACTCAAAACGTTTCAACTGCACAGATACACATTCCTAATACTCAAACACATTCGATCCCAGACACTCAAAACGTTTCAACTGCACAGATACACATTCCTAATACTCAAACACATTCGATCCCAGACACTCAAAACGTTTCAACTGCACAGATACACATTCCTAATACTCAAACACATTCGATCCCAGACACTCAAAACGTTTCAACTGCACAGATACACATTCCTAATACTCAAACACATTCGATCCCAGACACTCAAAACGTTTCAACTGCACAGATACACATTCCTAATACTCAAACACATTCGATCCCAGACACTCAAAACGTTTCAACTGCACAGATACACATTCCTAATACTCAAACACATTCGATCCCAGACACTCAAAACGTTTCAACTGCACAGATACATATACCTAACACGCAAACACATTCCATCCCAGACACTCAAAACGTTTCAACTGCACAGATACACATACCTAATACTCAAACACATTCGATCCCAGACACTCAAAACGTTTCAACTGCACAGATACACATTCCTAATACTCAAACACATTCGATCCCAGACACTCAAAACGTTTCAACTGCACAGATACACATTCCTAATACTCAAACACATTCGATCCCAGACACTCAAAACGTTTCAACTGCACAGATACACATTCCTAATACTCAAACACATTCGATCCCAGACACTCAAAACGTTTCAACTGCACAGATACACATTCCTAATACTCAAACACATTCGATCCCAGACACTCAAAACGTTTCAACTGCACAGATACACATTCCTAATACTCAAACACATTCGATCCCAGACACTCAAAACGTTTCAACTGCACAGATACACATTCCTAATACTCAAACACATTCGATCCCAGACACTCAAAACGTTTCAACTGCACAGATACACATTCCTAATACTCAAACACATTCGATCCCAGACACTCAAAACGTTTCAACTGCACAGATACATATACCTAACACGCAAACACATTCCATCCCAGACACTCAAAACGTTTCAACTGCACAGATACACATACCTAATACTCAAACACATTCGATCCCAGACACTCAAAACGTTTCAACTGCACAGATACATATACCTAACACGCAAACACATTCCATCCCAGACACTCAAAACGTTTCAACTGCACAGATACACATTCCTAATACTCAAACACATTCGATCCCAGACACTCAAAAAGTTTCAACTGCACAGATACACATTCCTAATACTCAAACACATTCGATCCCAGACACTCAAAACGTTTCAACTGCACAGATACACATTCCTAATACTCAAACACATTCGATCCCAGACACTCAAAACGTTTCAACTGCACAGATACACATTCCTAATACTCAAACACATTCGATCCCAGACACTCAAAACGTTTCAACTGCACAGATACACATTCCTAATACTCAAACACATTCGATCCCAGACACTCAAAACGTTTCAACTGCACAGATACACATTCCTAATACTCAAACACATTCGATCCCAGACACTCAAAACGTTTCAACTGCACAGATACACATTCCTAATACTCAAACACATTCGATCCCAGACACTCAAAACGTTTCAACTGCACAGATACACATTCCTAATACTCAAACACATTCGATCCCAGACACTCAAAACGTTTCAACTGCACAGATACATATACCTAACACGCAAACACATTCAATCCCAGACACTCAAAACGTTTTAACTCCTACACTGATACACATACCCAGTGGCAGAAGAATTACACACACCCAAGTATCACGACAACAAAAAAACGAGAACACAACACGACATCAAAAAAATATACATGAATTTCTTTGTAATTGGAATGAACCGTGAATAAATACATTACCTATAAGTAATAAATTTTCTTACCTTAAACAAAGTGCCAGTCTTTCTTTTGTTGGAATAGCCTCTCTGTAGTTTGTATTTTTCTTTTTAATATGAGGTTCAAGAAGATTGTGTAAATATTCAAAAGTTTCTGGCTTCATTCTGAAATAGGTATAGAAACGGTCTTCATGTGATTGAAGTTCTAAGCACAGTTTATTTTCTCCAAGTTTCCGTCGTTTCTGATTTATTTCATGCACCCAGATTCTACGCTTTCTCTTTAGTACTGACACCAGCAATAACAATTCTTCTTCTTCAGAATCTGAAAGCGATGACTGAGATGACATTCTGAAATTACGTCTGCACCTGCAGTCGTCGAAAATTACAATAGCATATCATTGCGAAAAAGTTGCGAAAACATTGCTGTGTACTAACGTTCCGCAGATATTTCACTACGCAGTAGTTCAGCAGAGACTCGCTACCGCATACGAATGCGTAGGTGTACTAAAGGCGTTAGGCTTTTTAGGTTCTTTATAGCGTAAGTTATTAGCTTCTTCTGAATATTTTATATTTGAATTTTATTTACTTTTTGACGATATCATTGTTGACAAAATATAGGTACATTTTAATGTTAATCAAAATGTTTAGTATTTTGATTTTGTTTGAAGCACCGTTTGATCGTCTTCGCGATGTGTTTGATCAAACCTCATCAGTCTTGTGCTGAATTTCGAAGAGATACGTTCTGTGTGGTTTCCAAAATGCTAAAGACCTCAATGTAGACAATTATTGATTTACTGGAATAGCTTGCCTCATGTTCGTAGGTATCCTGTTTTTGAATTAATGGTCGAACTTTATTCAATAATCAATACTAATATAATAAAGCGGAAGAGTTTTTTTGTTTGTTTAAACGCGCTAATCTCTGGAACTACCAGTCCGATTTGAAAAATTATTTTTGTATATTATAGCCAGATTCATGTGGAATAGTATAGGCTATCTAGCATTAAGCTATATCACTCAGCTAGCCTTAAATATGGATATTTGTTAAGCAAGTCAAAAGAAAAAGCACTCCCGAAATGATTTATCCCTACTATTCGTTTTGACGAAGCGCTTAAAAAAATAGTATACCATATTCCTTCCATAAAAAATCAACAATTGTGCGCTTTGAAAATATTGCTATTAGATTGTATAACGCGCTTCGAATAAAGAGATAGTCTATGTGAAAAGTAAATAGATTCAATATAATGTCCAACGAAAGTTCGGGGTTCGATTCCCGGGTAAAGTATTAATTTCATAAAATTTTGTTTTTAGATTAATTTAGAGTCATGTTTTACATAATAATCAGCTATGCAAAACGAATAAAATAGTTCAAAACAAAATTATTTGAACCTGAAGACAATTTATATCAGTGATAATTGAGAATTCATTTGACATTCTATGGTAAATAAATTCTTCAATACAATAACCTTGAGAGCAATTCATATTGCCTTATTTTTAAATAAAAATAGGTCAACCCGAAAGTAATCACTGCCACAAGCTCGTCGTCCGTCATCTTTGCCTATCCGAAATATACTAGCACGTTCGCCGAGCGTGTGGATGCCGTGTTTGTGTTGAGTGAATGTGGTCGGTGTTTGTTCGTGTATGGTGTATGTGGCAAACACCAAGCGTATGGAGGCGGCAAAAGCTTAAGTCATAGAATTATTACGTATAGAATACTAGTACGCGCACCAAAAGTGAAGCAACTAAAACTAACGCGAAACCGCGTAAGTTCACTCTGCGACGCGTCAGTGCTCAACGTCACGTCTTACGGAGAAGAGCTCGCGAAAAATTGTAAATATGGCCGTTTGTGTTGTAAAATATTGTCTCAACAGTGATGATAAACATAAAAAAGTGATGGTATTACACCTCACATATAAGTTCATATATATAATTCATTATAAGTACGTAAAACTAAAAAAAACATTTACCAGATGTCATTTTACACCGAAACAGTCTATTTTTAACCAACTCCCAAAAAGGAGAGGTTATCAATTATGCATCTACACTGATTTCTAAGTGATCGACACTGTAAGTCAAATTGATAAAATAAAAAATATTACAATTAAAAAAGTTTTGTTTTTCTCGATTGTAAATCTGCCATTTTTGCATCCTAATAATTTTTATTTTAATAAATCTGTTGTACTACCAAGACAAAATCATTTTACTTCGGGCAAACAACCATTAAATTTCAACGTGTATATTGGATCAATCTGTGTGTATACACTTTCAATTAAAAAAATCTAAATCGATTTAGAAATTATAGAATTCTGAGGTAAAAAAATAAAAAAAATACACAGAATTGAGAACCTCCTCATTTTTGAAGTTGGTTAAATTAAACATTACCCGATGTGCTTATTGTATTCGAGCAGATTGTGTTTAATAATATTCTTAATTTTTATTAGGTCTGCATTTTTGTACCATTAAAATATGTATAATAAAGTTATATTAGTACCATCATTATCGTGTTTATTTTATTCCATTTTATATTCTCATAAAATACGTCTTCGTACGTAATACGTAATCTTTATTATATCGATTATATTAAATTAATCAATAAAATAGTGATTTGCACAATTTGATTGCAATAGTAGTGATACCGCCATGGATCTTCCTGCTCTGGTTGATTCTGACGAAGATGGAATGGTCACCCAAGAACTAGTGCAGATGAGGAGTATATTGGAGGAGGCGATTGTGGAAACGCGCAGCACGCTTCTCGAAAATCGACCGCGACTCCCGTGCATAACTCTAAGCAAGCAGAATCGGGATGTCGTGACGGCCTTGAACGCATTGCGGGCAACCGACTTGGAAGCCAGCCGAGACATTTGCGATACGGACTCAATAATTTTTGATGCCGCTTTGGCAGTTTGCCGTATTGTTGGTGAATCTGGTAGAAACTGGTATCACTGAATGGCGTGTATGTTTGCGTGTGATGAACGTAGGCACTAGGCACATTCGAGATTTCGAGATTCGACTCGCGCCCACTAACATTGACTAACATAATGACCTTGCGTCGCTTTAACTTTAACGCTCGTGTTTTGTACTAGACTGCGTTTCTACTGGGTAATAATTCTATGGCTTAAGTCGTAAGATACATAGATATCATGCGTTACATTTCGACTAATTTAATTTAATATATACTAGCTGTTCCTCGCGACGCGTGTTATTTGGAGTTTTAATTTTGTTGCGCGTAACCCTAATTCTTTTTCTAAAATAAAAGTAATCTAAGTTACTCCTTGTGACATCAGCTATCTGCCAGTGAAAATCCCATCAAAATCGGTCCAGCCGTTTCGAAGATTAGCCGGAACAAACAGAAAGACAGACAAAAACTTTAAAAATTGTATTTTTGTTAATAATACTGTACATACTTTCAAATGCATTTAGTAAAAAGCTGTAATTTTGACATTACAAACAGACACTTCAATTTTATTTATTTGTATAGATTAAAGCGACACATATTATGCGTTACATTTCGACTGATTTCATTTAATTTATATTAAAGCTTAAGTCGTAAGATACATAGATATTATGCGTTACATTTCGACTGATTTCATTTAATTTATATTAAAGCTTAAGTCGTAAGATACATAGATATTATGCGTTACATTTCGACTGAATTCATTTAATTTATATTAAAGCTTAAGTCGTAAGATACATAGATATTATGCGTTACATTTCGACTGATTTCATTTAATTTATATTAAAGCTTAAGTCGTAAGATACATAGATATTATGCGTTACATTTCGACTGAATTCATTTAATTTATATTAAAGCTTAAGTCGTAAGATACATAGATATTATGCGTTACATTTCGACTGATTTCATTTAATTTATATTAAAGCTTAAGTCGTAAGATACATAGATATTATGCGTTACATTTCGACTGATTTCATTTAATTTATATTAAAGCTTAAGTCGTAAGATACATAGATATTATACGTTACATTTCGACTGATTTCATTTAATTTATATTAAAGCTTAAGTCGTAAGATACATAGATATTATGCGTTACATTTCGACTGATTTCATTTAATTTATATTAAAGCTTAAGTCGTAAGATACATAGATATTATGCGTTACATTTCGACTGATTTCATTTAATTTATATTAAAGCTTAAGTCGTAAGATACATAGATATTATGCGTTACATTTCGACTGATTTCATTTAATTTATATTAAAGCTTAAGTCGTAAGATACATAGATATTATGCGTTACATTTCGACTGAATTCATTTAATTTATATTAAAGCTTAAGTCGTAAGATACATAGATATTATGCGTTACATTTCGACTGATTTCATTTAATTTATATTAAAGCTTAAGTCGTAAGATACATAGATATTATGCGTTACATTTCGACTGATTTCATTTAATTTATATTAAAGCTTAAGTCGTAAGATACATAGATATTATGCGTTACATTTCGACTGATTTCATTTAATTTATATTAAAGCTTAAGTCGTAAGATACATAGATATTATGCGTTACATTTCGACTGATTTCATTTAATTTATATTAAAGCTTAAGTCGTAAGATACATAGATATTATGCGTTACATTTCGACTGAATTCATTTAATTTATATTAAAGCTTAAGTCGTAAGATACATAGATATTATGCGTTACATTTCGACTGATTTCATTTAATTTATATTAAAGCTTAAGTCGTAAGATACATAGATATTATGCGTTACATTTCGACTGATTTCATTTAATTTATATTAAAGCTTAAGTCGTAAGATACATAGATATTATACGTTACATTTCGACTGATTTCATTTAATTTATATTAAAGCTTAAGTCGTAAGATACATAGATATTATGCGTTACATTTCGACTGAATTCATTTAATTTATATTAAAGCTTAAGTCGTAAGATACATAGATATTATGCGTTACATTTCGACTGATTTCATTTAATTTATATTAAAGCTTAAGTCGTAAGATACATAGATATTATGCGTTACATTTCGACTGATTT